CCCCAAAACCCCAAAACCCCATGTCAGTAAAATAAAAATAAATTTATTTAGAGAGTTAGAAAATTGTAAAATGTAGGCTAAGTAATACTATTTATTTATCATATCTTCTTCCTAGCCTAAGTAGGTTCAAAATGATGACTGATGGTCTACATTGTATTCCTAGGATAAACTTGGGTTTTAATTGCTGGCTGCATCTACATGCCAATACTAGAATTAGAAGATCCGAATCTGTAAGTACTATTATAATCCTGATTTTATATTATTTCTTGCTAAAGTTATCTTAGCAATTCATCATTTTTGACTATTTTTTGGATGCTGAATTCCTATTTCTATGTTTTTAGTTCCTAAGCATATTTTATACGTTCTTGCTACTCATACTGTCTTTACTGCTATAGTTCTCTGAATGATTTTTCGTGTTCCTCATGATAGAATCGATATCCAGAATCATTTCTTTATTACTTAAGAGCTCTCATATACTCTTAGCGTCCTAAACTAGATTCTCTGATAGATTTCTTGTCTATTTCAGTCTTAGATTTATCAGCAGAGTTTATTCTACTATTGAACTCAGTCTTCTATCTCAAATAGTATATTTCCTATTCTCTATTTTGCTTTTCAATTTTTAATTTATCTTCTTTATCAAATATTGCCTTTAGTTTCTTCTGCTCTCTTTCTAATTTTATCAGACTTTTTTATCTTTTCAAACTTTAGGTTGAGTTCATCTTGAGTTTCTTCGAGGTGCTCAAGTTATTATGATAAGCTGAAGCAGCAATTGCATTTTTTTATTCAAGAAGAAGTTAAGCTAAACTGGAATGATTGTAAAAGGTATTGCTGTTAGAATAGTGATGCTTTGTATTGTTTAAAGTTTAAAATTGATTGCTTTAGTTTTGGCATTCATAGGATGTCTAGTGATAGTAATCTTCAACGAATTAAGAAGAAGGTTGCCTCGTATGTGCTTAAGTTTGGAGAATTGATTCCATCCTTTATGTCTTTGAAAGCGATCTATTCAAGGATATGCTATTTGACATGATTGAGTTATTTTAGGTATATCTAGTGGTATTTGACCCCTGAGCTTGGGATTAAAGGTATTCAAATAGATCCTTAGTTTGTTTTAGGAATTAAATTAGAGGATTTAATTAGTTAATATATTATTCTACTCTCTGCTCCCTGATTGAATATTCTATCAAGAAAGTATGAATGTTCATAGCTCTTATTTTTGATTCATCACCAATAGATTGAAGTGTGAACTTTTGAATTGATGAGATAAGCTCTAAGTCGTAAGTCAATATTTTTTATTAGATTTCTAGCCAACTGAACTAGTCCATTAATATGAATTTTTAATCATTAAAAGAAGCTATTATCAGAAGAAGGCATGCTGTCTCAACTGCACCAATAGGCAACTATTAATAACTTCTTAAAGCAAATTCCCTTAAAACACTCTAGTTTATGTTACTAGTAATCTAAGACAGCTAAATTTTCATGTTCATTAGTGCTGTTTTGCTATTATTAGTCTAACTTTAGCCTCTTGTAGACATTGGTCTTTCAATCATGTTACTTTTCTTTGGTGATTTTACTTGCTTAGTCTTATTCAAAATAATAATATTTTTTTTAGCAGAGGGGGAAGCGATTTACTTATTTTTTGGTGTTATTACTGTACTGCTTTTTGTATTTGAAGTCTAAATTATATGATTAGATTTAGACACTGCTTGCTACCTATCTTTATTTAGCTTAATTTTTTCAAACTTCATAAAGCTAGGAGTCCCTGTATGCATAAAGTCTTACTTTGGGTTGAACTATGCCTTTTTAATCCTTAAAGTAGGTTTTGATTTAGTTGTAGTTTGCTAGTTTAATTGCTGTTGATTACCAATTTTTCTTTCAGTCATTAAGGCTTCCTTTTTATTTGTACCAGTAGTTTACTTTGGTTTTGTAATTTAAACTTTAGGTATAGAGATTCTTTAGGAATTCAGACCATTCTACACATTTGAACTAAAAGACTTAAAATGAGGCTAATGATGATTTAGATTCAATCTCTTTACTTAATGCTAGTTAGATTCATTTTAAAATCTCTCAATAAACTTTGAGTCTTTTAGAAAATTATCCATTTATTATGAACGCTTTGAGGGGGGAGAAACTTTTTCTTCAGCATTACCTCCCCTATTTTAGTCCCTCAATGACTGATAGTGAGTTGAAACAACTTCAGATGTTTAAGTATTTCGGAATCCATGATGATTTACAGAATTGAGTGAAAATCTAATAGGACTTTCAATAGAAATAAGATCCATCTTATTATCACTAAAGGTGACCATAGGTTTACTTTCGGTCTTGAAAATATCTATGGATTGATTTCTATTGTGGTTATGAATGCTTTTTGTACTGTAAAGTCTATCAATTTCGCTATAAATATTTTACTTTTCATCTGATTTAAGATCTTTATTCATAATCTGTGTTTTCTCATTGCTTAATTGTTAATCACTTGGACTCAAAGGTCTCTCATATTTTTCTTGTTATTGTAATATCGATTCTTTGTAAGTTTTCTCAAGCTTTTTTATGTTTATAGCTTATTAATATTGCAAATTGAGTCTTTTAGCCTTTTCTTACTATTTCAATATTTTTACTTCCTCTATAAATACCAAGTGTTGCTTTTAGATAAGTAATTTTCTAGCTTTACTATGTCTTCTCTATTCTTCATCTTTTCTATGATTCTGCTCATCTTAAATTAGATTACCTGCTTCTTCTTTTGTAAATTGTGGAATCTTTTCAAACATTTTATTATTTATCGATGCATTTTCATTTATCTATGCTTCTTAAACTGGTTAAGCTGCTTTTTCCCCTAATTATGAATTTTATGATCCTTATAAGTGATTCTCCTAATATTGCTTTTTTACTTCAACAGATGTAGGTTAATTACTCATTTTTAAAACAAATAAAAAATTTTATTAACAATATTTCTTATTAAAAGGTTTTTCATTTGGATAACAATGCAGGCTATAGGGGTTTTGGGGTTTTGGGGTTTTGGGG